AAATAATAAATATTATGAGGTTACTGAGTTCATAATATTAGTTTCACTTTTTTATAATTTATGCATAGATACAATTAAAATATGAGATAGTTATTGCTTGCATACTTTGAATGCCTGTCTTAAATTTATCCTGAAATATTTTAATATTTGTAATAGTTTCATTATTTACTTACAAATAAAACTTCTCATCCCATACTGGATTCAAGTTTCCAAAAATGGTTTTAGTTCTTCTTTTGTTCTTTCCAACTTGAACTGTAACATATGGGTCACTTGACCCTGTTTTGTCTTTTGCCTGCAAGCCTTGTGCAGAAACCACTGAAATAAACCAAATTCAAACTTTTAATATAAAGATTTCCTCAGAAACAAAAAAAAAGATAATGAAGGAAACATTTTCTATTTCGTTGTCCCCTTGGTTTGCAATGCAACCCCATTGCTTTCATTTTCATGAGCAACAGGACTTAACAAAATGTTTAAGAAAAGCATGAATCACGGAACATTAAAACCTTCCTTTAATGAATATTTGCTTTTGCCTGTAATGAACAGTAGTGGTATACATACATATGCATATTAGCTATATACTCATATATATCACTGCACCATGTATAGAATAATGAGAATGCACCTACAATAAGCAAATTACCCAATGTAGTTCAAAGGTCTGTGATTTAAGATGTATTTATTTATTTATGAATTTACTGTCAGTATTGATCAACAACTCAGTAATAGAAGCTTCTTTATTTTACCTTTTGAATACAATATGAGTAAGTTAAAAGGCGTGGTAAATATCAACATGTAACATACGCAGTTGCTGTTACTTACAAGCAACTTCAGAAGTTCAAGTTATTAGACATCACTAAACTCAGATTGCCAAATCAAGATTCAAATGAATGGGGGATACTGATCCAGGAGTATATAAAACAATATTTGTTTTCTCATTAAGAAAAACTGACTGAAGAGATTACTGGCTACTCTTGTCATTTATCAGTGGCAGGCAGCAACAAAGCTAGTCTCTTGTAAACTGCAGGGTATTGATGAGTATATTACAAAATAGAACTTTCTTCCTCTTGAAGAGCTTCTGATTAGAACAAGACATAGACTGAAATGATTTCAATTATCTAGTACACATTTCAGAAATTTGAAGTACCAATTAGACTTCAATATTGACAAGATTGAAAAATTCTATTTATCTTACCTATAACTATTAATAGCAGTGTTTTCTAAGACATATAAAAATCTCAATATGGAATGAAAATTTTTAAAAAGACTTATTTTTACCTGTAATGGTTATTTTTGCTGACCACTTAGATGTCCCGTCCAGTACACTCTGTTTGGCCGCCTTTGTGTACTGCACAAAATCTTCTTTAGAAATCTGAAACATTTCCTGAATTATTTCAAACACCTCTGGCCTGTTTGTCTCCCTGATCTTCATTCTTTCTTTCATGGCTGTAATAATGGTCTGAGTCTTGTCTTCCGCACCATGCTTAGAACTCTTTTCTGCCGCTCCTATAGTAGAAAAATAGTAGAAAATAGTAGAAAAATCATAGCTGTTATCTTGGGAATTCCCTTTGCCTTTTGACAAAGATTAATTTTCTGTATTAGATCCTGACAACTTTCTGTGTCTTCCTTTACACACTCATGTTATGCTTGACTGATGGTTCCACTGGATTGAAAATTATTTCCCCTCCTAATTCTTCTCAATAATTCTGCCCCAGATGTGAGTACCTCTTTCTTTCAGGCAGTTTGTTGAATGCCTGCCATAGGTCACACATTGGGAATGTCACAGTAAATATAGAGGTTCCCTTCCTTCATGGAGCTTAATGCTAGTGGACAGGGCCATCTTTTTTAACCCACCCCTTGACTTCTGTTCTCTGAGGTGGTCGTTCTCAGGGTATTGACTACCCAGGCTTCCTAGATTTCTCCCTGTGTGTACTTGAATGGTCATCTCTGTCTTCATGTAGGTAACATATCCCTGTCTCTGGACCTGACCTTTCTACCAGGCCCCACAGAGGAGTCTCTGTCTACTTCTCAGCTTTTGCATCATTACATGACCATTATCGTGTTTTTAGGTCATCCCTTAAAAGAAGTTTGGCTGTTGTCAGAGATGGCCCAAAAATCTTACCAGACTGTATCCTTGATTCTCAAAACGAATACTTTGAGTGGGTATTTGATTTGTGAGTGTGAGCAGGCTGGAGGGAAAAGTGCCAGAAACAACAAAAGGAAAATTTTTTAAATTTTTTCTTCATTATCTGTCCTGTGTTCTTCCTGCTAGGTTTTTGGGGTACTTACTTCGTGGTAGTTACTGACTAGACCCTGAGGACACTGACATGCGTAGAATACAAATTAGCTTCTTTCCAAAGAGTTTTCAGCCTGTTTGAGGAGATTAAAGTTTAAAAAAAGGCTAAAGCAATGTGATGAGTATTATAAAATAGAGTGAATAAAGGTGCATGAGGGCACTAGGAAAGAAATGAAGATGTCATTTGAACAAGGTCTTAAAGATGCTTTCACTAGAGGAATAATATGTGAAAGGCTAAAAGGTAAGAAAAAGTAACTGTGATGCCTTTTGGTTGTGTAGGTATGAATTATAACTAGCAGGTCTTGAAAGGAAGGAATTCTGATTCTCTAATTTTATTTGTCTACTGGAACTTTAGTCAGTAGGGTAAGTAGGGAGTTACCTGGTGGTCTAGTGGCTAGGACTCGGCGCTTTCACTGCCGCGGCCCAGGTTCAGTCCCTGAGGGGAACTGAGATCCCACAAGCTGAGAGGCATGACCAGAAAAAAACAAAAGAAGATAAGTAATGAATGTTAATGTAACTATTAAGGTAAGATTTTTGGAGGTGCCTTTAATTTTTAGGCAACATTTTGTTTTAAGGTACAGCTTCCTGACAAGTATGAGTTTGTGTTCATATATATGGATTTTTTTTTCCTGCTAACCAGAAACAGTATTAAATGGGACCAAGGTAATGACCTCAGTTCTTCCAGTCAGGAGCCTCTACGTTTTTTGTTTGTTTGTTTAATATTTATTTATTTGGCTGCACCAGGTCTTAGCTGCGGCATGTGGGATCTTTTAGTTGCAGCATGCAGGATCTAGTTCCCTGACCAGGGATTGAACCCAGGCCCCCTGCATTGGAAGTGTGGAGTCTTAACCACTGGACTGCCAGGGAAGTCCCAGAAGCCTCTGTGTTTTATGACAGTGTAGTGTGGTTGAAAACCCAGTAGACTACCTACCAGTTATGAGCTCTGAGTTCACATTCCAGTAATCAGTTGCTGATAAATGACATCTACCGTTTAATTACCTCATTTTTAAAATGCAGATAATAATAACATCCTGCCTCCTTTCCTGGGTTTTTGCACATAGCCCTGATTCAAGAGTGGGGTTTTACCTGTAGATAAAACTTGGTATAGATTAGTAGTTTTGCAGCTGAGTACAAACATGTGACTTTAAGATTGGTGCCTAAGGATTTGTGGGGAACACCTTGGGTAGTGGGATAGAAAGAAGAAACAGAAAGCAAGGGAGGAGGCACTGCAGCTGTGGAGGACGTTGATCCGGGATATAGAGAGGTAGCAAGATGAATCTTGCTGTTGGCCAGCTCTTGATGGGGTTTCACTGAAATCTGAGGGCAAGGTGACGTCAAAGAGAGGAGCTTTAGTTCCGAGACTGGCCTGACTTCCTATACTAGCTTTAATTAAGGTTTGACTGGGGGCAAGTTCCTTTCTCTAAGCCTTGCTTCCCTCTACTATAAAATAAATAATACCTCCCTCAGAGGATGGTTGTGAGAATTAAATAAGTAAGGACTTGAAAGGGCCACATGTAGTGCTTAGCTTATAGGAGGCGCACACAACGAATGGTAATTCCTTTCTGATTCCCAAACTTAGGAGCTTTGAAAAGGAAGGGAGGTAGGAGGTAGATTAAGATGCAAAGGTGATCCTTAGAAATCATGAATTCTGTCTGGGAAACGCTGAACTGCCAGCATTGCTGGGTGGGGCCTGTGAGACATCCAAGTAAAAGCAATTCATTGGTTGGCTGAATGGACAAAAAAGGTGGGAAATACGAACTGGAGAAGGGGTTTTGAGAGTCGTCAGCATATGGAAGATGACCTTACCAGCCTGGATGAAGTGTACCTAGAGAGACTGTCGGGTAAGAAGAGACCCAAGGCTGCCTTGAGGACTCCGAACGTGGAAAAACTAGGTAGAGCAGCAGGCAGCGAGGAAGGAGGAAGTCAGGAGAGTGGAGCAGGCAGCATTGTTCGTGCTGCTGAGAGATCCAGTGAGATGAGGAGTTAGCCCCGCGTTAGGAAGATTGGCAAGTGGAAAGGTGGGATAGAGGCCAGATTAGAGGGAGTTGGCCGCTTGTGGGAGGCGAGGTGATGGAATGATGTACAGATTGCTCTTTTGATAAATTTGGCTACACAGAAGAGGAAGAAGAAAAGGGCTGGTAGCTGGAAGAGGAAGGAGGTCAGGGAATGAAAGGTTTTCTTTTTTTTAAAGATGGCAGAGACTTGAGCACCTTTAAATGCCTATTGGAAAGATGTAAAAAGGGGGAGAAGCTAAAGGAATGGAAGAAAAGGGATTATCAGTGGCATAAGAATTTTGCATTCCGGTGTTCAGTACAAAGTGGGGATGTGGGTGAAAGCAATGAGAATGTGGGGGAAGTGGAGGAGGGAGTGTTGACCAGGGAAACACCATGTAAGATGCTGCCTGTAAAATATAACTTGTAGCCATTTGTTACGTGATTTAACCTGTGCTTATTTAAGGACAGCTTCAGTAGTTTCTATTTTCTTATGTACCTTTATCAGTAAGCATTTTGGTTCTACCATCATAGCAGTTGTTGAAGGAGAAAATGAAAATAATAAAATGCCACCTGTTTATTTTGCTGCTGCCTTTTCTGGTAAGCCATGTAGGGAAGATAGCTGTGAGTCACAATGAGACTTGGGGATTGCCGATGTTTCATGTACTTTTTCTGTCTCATTTACAGCAGTAACCTTTCCCTTTCTCAATTTTTAGGCCTTTTCTGATGCCATTAAAAAATGGCAGGAGCTATCGCCAGAAACCAGTGGAAAAAGAAAAAAGAGAAAAGAAATGAATCAGTATTCTTACATAGATTTCAAATTTGAACAAGGTAATGGCCAAATGTGAGTGTTGCTGATGGTGTTTACAGAGCCGTCTGCTCCCACACAGCCTGTAAGGGGAGTCGTGGTGTGGCTGCTTAGAAGTGCCCTGTTACAGCAGTCTGAGGAGCGTCACTGACATAACTGCTTTGATGGCACATTGGTGTTTTTAGAAAGTGGCTACGTTTGTCATCTTTCTGTTTAGGATACACCATGACAGGAAAATTGTGTGTAGTGTTAGATTCACATGTGGAAAAGTGTTTGGGGACATTCTTCAGCTTGGGGGAAAAGAGGTCTTGAAGGTTTGACAAGAATTAACCTTATCACTACATAGTAAAAGCTAGACCAGTGATTGATTGCTTACTGCAGAGGAGTCACTTACACACCTGAGAGTGGCTTCTACACAGAAAAAAACCAAACAGCTCTTAAACTGCCACTTAAGCTGTTTATTTAAAATTCTGTTATTCATATTGATGAAGTAACTGCTGAAAGCTCTTTCAGAGAGGCTACTTCAGGTCTAACTCCCCACCCCCCGCCAAGGTCAACTTGCTGAATTTTGCAACAAATTTGATCTTAGTTGCTTGTGTCTAAGAAGAGTCCACTTCAACTTTTCCTGTAGATTATGTCATAAATAAGAATATTTCCCTTTTCTTTTCTCCTATGTGTCTTTCCGTTACATCTGTAATTAATTTCATAACTTGACTTCAGGTGTGACTAAATGAAAAATCCATGAGATAGTTATAGAGTTGGAAAGTATTTGAAATTTTGAACTCTTCAGGATCTAAAAGAAAACGTCCTAGGCTCTGACTTCTAAGTTCACCAAGCTACTCTGTGAAGCAGTGCTCTCCTGACATGACATTCTCACAGATCTGTGGCAGAATGGAAGTGGGGACAGTGTATAGGTGGTTTTTCATTCAGCTGAATTTATCCACAGTTTAGACTAGGCATCCCTAATACATAGTCATTCAGTATTTGTTTCTGACTTTCAGTGGTAGAGAAAAGAAAGTATCACTTCACAAGATGATCTACTCCCTTGTTGGTCAGCTATGTCTTTTAGAAAGTTCTTCCTTTATATCTAGCCAAAAATGTACCTTCCTGGGACTTCCCTGGTGGCGCAGTGGTTAAGAATCTTCTGCCAATGCAGGGGACACGGGTTTGATCCCTGGTCCGGGAAGATCCTGCATGCCACAGAGCTACTAAACCAGTGCGTCACAACTACTGAGCCTGCGCTCTAGAGCCCATGAGCCACAACTGCTGAGCCCACGTGCCACAACTACTGAAGCCCACATACCTAGAGTCCATGCTCCGCAACAAGAGAAGCCACCTCAATGAGAAGTCAACGCACCACAACAAAGAGTAGCCCCCACTCACTGCAGCTAGAGAAAGCCTGCGCGCAGCAATGAAGACCCAACACAGCCATAAATAAATAATTAATTTGAAAAGTAAAGTTGCTCTGAAAAAAATTAAATACTTAGATGTGAATCTAAGAATACATGTACAGGACTTATGATGAAAACTACAAAACACTGAAGAAAGAAATCAAAGAAAATATAAATAAATGGAGAAACGTACTGTGTTCATGGATTGGAAGACTCAGTGAAGATGTAAATCCTCCCCAAATTGGTACCATGCTTAATGTAATTTCTGTCAAAATCCCAGCAAGATTTTTTTGTAGATACAGGCAAGGTATCCTAAAATTATCCTAAAATTTATATGGAAAGGCAGGGTACTAGAATAGCTAAAATGATTTCTTTTTTTTAATAAATTTATTTATTTATTAGTAGTTTTGGCTCGAGGGCTCTAGAGCATAGGCCCAGTAGTGTGGCACACGGGCTTAGTTGCTCCACGGCATGTGGGATCTTTCCAGACCAGGGCTCGAACCCATGTCCCCTGCATTGGCAGGCAGATTCTTAACCATTCTGCCACCAAAGAAGTCCCAGTGATTTTTAAAAAGAAGAATAAAGTGGGAGAAATCAGTCTACTGGATTTCAAGACTTACTACATAGCTACAGTGATTAAGACCAGGTGGTCTTGGGACTTGCCTGGTGGTCCAGTGGTTAAAAATCCACCTTCCAATGCAGGGGACCACGGGTTCAATCCCTGCTCGGGGAACTAAGATCCCACATGCCGCAGGGCAACTAAGTACGAGCGCTGTAATGAAAGATCCTGCATGCCGCAACAAAGATCCTGTGTGCTGCAACTAAGACTCAATGCAGCCAAAAAAAATTAAATTAAATAAATAAATTAAATAAATAAATACTCTTTAAAAAGCAAACCAGGTGGGCTTGGCAGAAGTATAGACAGATAGATGGAACAGAATAGAGAACCAAAAACTGGTTTTCTAAATAATGAAAAAAAATGTTTTAATTTTTAAAAACTAGTAAGAGTGAACAAGAAAAGAGAGGAAAAATAAAGTGTATCAGTGTACAGTAAATATTGATAAAATCAAGAGATTATCAAAAAGCTTTTTTGAGTAAATAGAAAATCTGGATGGAATAGACAGTTTTCTAGAAAATGTACATTACCAAATCAACCAAAGAAATACAAAATCTAAATCAGACCAACTGCAAGATTTGACACTTGTCATTTTGTTAGCTTTTATTCTAAGTGTTATTTATTGTAAATCTAGGTACTGCTCTTTTCTGTCTTTGAAATTTTCAAAATAAAAAAAATTTTGAAACATTCATGAAACACATGTGCATCTACCAGAATGGCTCGAATTAAAAACTGATGTCATCAGGTGCTGAGGACAATGTGGAGTGATTGAAACTCACATACATTGCTGGTGCGGGGAGAGTGTAAATTGGAACAGACACTTTGGAAAACTAGCACTGTTTTCTAAGCTGATCCGGCAATTTTACTCCTTCATGTATTCTCAGCTGAGTTGCAGGCATATGTATAGCAGCCCTGGTCATAATAACCCCAAACTGTAAACCTGCCTGTCCTCAGTAGTGAATGCACAATAAATTGTGGTATATTCATACAGTGCAGTACTGACAGGCTAGGAGGACCTTCCAGTTGGATTATAATAAGCAGGAGTGAGGGAGGGGTGGAGAGGAAGAAAGTCAGGAAGTGTATGGAATGTTAGGGAATGGTAAGGAGCCCAGTTTTCCCAAAGAGAATATGTTATGGGAAAGTCACTAAACGTCCTCTGTAGGACCAGGCCACAGAGGACTGGGATGGCTGCCTGGATTCCTAGCAGAACAGTTGTCTGCATGATTTTGCATTGTCATTTATCTTCTAGGTGACAAAAAAATAGAAAAGAGGATGTTCTTTCTGGAAAATAAGCGGCGACATTGTAGGTCTTATGACCGGTGTGCTCTCCTTCCAGCTGTGCAGCAAGAGCAGGAGTTCTATGAGCAGAAAATCAAAGAGATGGCAGAGGTAGGAAGATGTGCTTGGAATGTGTTTCTGGGATTCTGGTTTGCTGTTAGGGCATAGTATAAAACTGTCTTGTAAGATTTGCCTTTTCTTTCAAGTGGTTCATTTGAATAAACTATAAAACTTTTAAAAGGAAAACAAAATTAGGTTTTGTAATGATACTGACTGAAGTTCACAGTTTCATAAATCAGATTTATGTTAGAGAATTTTAATTGGAACTTAGTAAACACATGTTTCACCTCCTTCACCCCCTAATGGTGGAAATTAGAGGAAATGGAGGAAAAAACACAGAGATTCCATTTAGCTCTTTAATTTTTCCAAATATACTATCAAATGTGCAAGTCAACTGGAATATACATATATTGGTTATTTAATACAAACAGACCTCGGAGATATTGCAGGTTCAGTTCCAGACCACCACAGTAAAGTGAATGTTGCAATAAATGCATAGAAAAGTTATGTTTACACTACACTGTAGTCTAGTAAGTATGCAATAGCATTATGTCTAAAATAATGTCCATGCCTTAATTAAGATATACTTTTATTGCTAAAAAATGCTAACCATCATCTGTGCTTTCAGCGAGTCATAATCTTTTTGCTGGTGAGGGGTCTTGCCTCAGTGTTGGTGGCTGCTGACTGCTCAGAGTGGTGCTTGTTGAAGGCTGGGGTGGCTGTCCAGATTTCTTAAATGTGACAATAATGAAGTTTGCTGAATCGATCGACTCTTGCTTTCATGAATGATTTCTCTGTAGCATGCAGTGCTGTTTGATAACATTTTACCCACAGTAGAACTTCTTTCAAAATTGGAGTCAGTTCCCTCAAATCCTGCTGCTGCTGCCTTATCAACTAAGTTTATGTGATTTTCTAAATCCTTTGTTGTCATTTCAACAATCTTCATACTATATTCACCAGTAGTTTCCATCTCAAGAAACCGCTTTCTTTGCTTATCAATGAAAAGCAACTCCTTGCCCGTTAAGGCTTTATTATGAGATTGCAGCAATTCAGTTCTAATTCTAGGTCTCTTGCTGTTTCTGCCACATCTGCAATTAATTTCTCCATTGAAGTCATCCACACGTATTGGGATCAGCTTCTTCCAAACTCCTGTTAGTGTTGATATTTTGACATCTTCCCATAAATTATGAATATTCCTCTTGGCATGTAGAATGGTGAATCCTTTCCAGAAGTTTTCAATTGACTTTGCCCCAGATCCATCAGAGGCAGCTATGGCACTATGCACTATGGCAGCTATAAGCCTTACAAAATGTATTTCTTAAATAATAAGTCTTGAAAGTCAAAAATTACTCCTTGATCCATGGGCTGCAGAATGAATGTTTTGTTAGCAGGCGTGGAAACATTAATCTCGTTCATCTCCGTTAGAGCTCTTAGGTGACCAGGAGCATTTCAGTGAGCAGTAAAGGAATATTTTGAAAGGAATCTTTTTCTGAGCAGTAGTTCTCAACAACGAGCTTAAAATATTCAGTAAACCATGTTATAAACAGATACGCAGGCTTTGTTATTCCACTTATAGAGCACAGGCAGAGTAGATTTAGCCTACTTCTTAAGGGCCCTAGGATTTTTGGAATGGTAAAAGGAGCACCGGCTTCAGCTTCAAGTCATCAGGTGCATTAACCCCTAACAAGAGTGTCAGCCTGTCCTTTGAAGCCAGGCATTGACTTCTCCTCTCTAGCAGTGAAAGTCCTAGATGGCATCTTCTTTCAATATAAGGCTGTTTTGTCTACATTTGAAAATCTGTTGTTTAGTGTGGCCACCTTTGGTTAATTATCTTAGCTAGATCTTCTGGATCACCTGCTGCAGCTTCTACGTCAGCATCTGCTGCTTCACCTTGCACTTTTATGTTATGGAGATGGCTTCTTTCCTTAAACCTCAGGAATCAACCTCGGCCTGCTTCAGACTTCTGCAGTTTCCTCACCTTTCTCAGCCGTCATAGAATTGAAGAGAGTTAGGGCCTTGCTTTGGATTAGGCTTTGGCTTAAGGAAATATTGTGGCTGGTTTGATCTTCTGTTCAGACCACTGAATCTTTCTCCATATCAGTAGTAAGGCTGTTTCACTTTCTTACCATTGTGTGTTCATTGGGGTAGCACTTTTAATCTCCTTCAAAAATTTTTCCTTTGCATTCACAACTTGGCCAACTGTTTGGTGCAAGAGGCCTAGATTTTGGCCTATCTCGACCTTTTTTTTTTTTTTTTTTTTTGCGGTCCGCGGGCCTCTCCCCGTTGTGGCCTCTCCCGTTGCGGAGCGCAGGCTCAGCAGCCATGGCTCACGGGCCCAGCCACTCTGCAGCATGTGGGATCTTCCCAGACCGGGCCACGAACCCGTGTTCCCTGCATTGGCAGGCGGACTCTCAACCACTGCGCCACCAGGGAAGCCCCTATCTTGACTTTTGACATGTCTTCCTCACTAAGCTTAAATTGTTTCTAGCTTTTGATTTAAAGTGAGATGGGCCACTCTTCCTTTCATTTGAATGCTTAGAGGCCATTGTAGGGTTATTAATTAGCCTAATTTCAGCATTGTTGTGTCTCAAGGAATAGGGAGGCGGGAGAAGAGGGAGAAGGATGGGGAATGGCCAGTCAGTGGAACAGTCCGAACACACATGACATTTTATTGATTAAGTTCACTGTCTTATATGGGTGCAGTTCATGGCACCCCAAAACAGTTGCAGTGGTAACATCAAAGATCACTGATCAAAAAAAAAAGATCACTGATCACCATAACAAATACAGTAATAATAATAATGAAAAAGTTTGAAATACTGCAAGAATTGCCAAAATGTGACCAGAGACATGAAGTAAGCAAATGCTGTTGGAAAAATGGCACTGATAGACTTGCTTGATGCGGGATTACCACAAACCTTCAGTTTGTTTTAAGAAAAAAAAAAAAGGCAGTATCTGCAAAGTGCAATAAAATGAAGTGTGCCTATATGTGTTTTCTAGACCAGCAACTCTCAAATTTGCTCCATGGACCCCTGGGTTTCCCAGGACTCTTTAGGATGTCTGCGACGTCAGATCTCTTATCATGATAAGACGATATTTACCTTTCTCACATTGTTGAATTTGTACTGAGGAACAAAAGTAATGGTGCCTTAGCATGAATCAAGCCAGTGGCACCAAAGTCTACTGGAAATCATTACTTTCTTCACCACCATGCACTCACATTTTAAAAAACAACAAAAAAAGCCCATGTCGTCTAAAAATGTATTTGATGCTTTGATGAAGCAGTTGAAATTATTACTTTATAAAATTTTAACCCTTGAAAACATCTTTTCAATACTCTGTATGACAAAATGGGAAGCACAGTTGTCCCTCCGTATCCACAGGGGGTTGGTTCCAGGACCCCTGCCACAGATACCAGAATCTATAGATGCTCAAGTCCTTTGTATAAAATGGCTTAGTATTTGCATATAACCTACACACATACTCCCGTATACTGTAAATCATTTCCAGAATACTTACAACACTTAATACAATGTAAATGCCCTGTAAATAATTGGCAGCACACTGTAAATTCAAGTTTTTCTTTTTGGAACTTTCTAGAATTTTTTTCCCCCAAATAATTTTGATTCGAGGTTGTTGAATCTGTGGATGCAGAACCTGCATATATGGAGGGCCGAATGTATGCATGAAGTGCTTTTGCTGCATACTGACTATGATGGTTTTCTCAAGGAGAAACATTTGTAATATCGAATTGCAAGCTGTTGAATTAGGCCCTTCTCCCTACCCCCCCTGCAAAAAACCCCACCATTTTTACTTGAAAAAATGACTGATAGAAAAACTATGATTATTCAAAATTAGGTATTTAGCAGGAATTTTCTCAAAAATGAATGAAGTGATTATTTATGTCCAATGATAAAATTCTGTATCTCAAACAGAAATTGGACTTTTGGAAAACTGTCATCTTGATCCATCCGTCATAGTTACTTGTGACTGTATCTGTTACATTAAAATCTGTTAGTGTAGCTTGCAGTTCGAATAGATATTTCACCCATGCATGATTTTATCATAAACAAACACCAGTTCACTGAGTTGTGTAGACCTTCCAGATGTTTGCACATTTCACAGTATAGTATCAAAACACCACATTTGCTAATATCACTGCCAGCCTCATCAGAGAGGTGTTGAGTATTGGCAAGATGGTTGTGGTCATCTTTTTGATGTCCAAATTGTCCCTTCTTTGGCCAGTGGCGTCACCTTCAAGTTAGTTCCTCTGTCCTGGACCTAGTCGTCTTTCTTTGACAGTATCCTTGCTTTCTGGCACACCTGGTGACCCAGGTTCAACTTCTGCTTTTCCTAACCTGGACCTGGAATCAACAACTTTTCCAAGGTGTCATATTTTCTTTTAGTGGAAGTTCATACTAAGATTTTTATTTCAACTTTGGTTTACAGGGTTTTTTTTACTTCTTTCATTTTATGTAAGCATTTCTTTTCTCTTAGGCTGAAAATCTTGGCTCTTAATTACATTACCATAATGGCTTATTTCCTTTATCCTATGTTGTATACTTAGTAGATCCCAAATAACAACCCAGTATTATTACCAATAATATTGCTAAATACGGTCTAGGATTTATTTATAACTTAGATTAGGAATTTGAAATTAAAATATTATAAAGTTACTTGAAATAAGTGTGTGGTTATGCCATTAACTTGGTAAGCAAAGAAGTTTATTTGTTTCTGTTTATTTTTAAGTTTTAAGGAATTGGTTTTTAATTTAATTTCTTTTTCATTTAATTCTGTTGTTCAGTTATGTAAAGTATTTTTAAAGTCAAAACTATAAAACAAGGAACATTCAGAGAGATCTAGCCTCTGTCCTGTCTGTCCTCCCCATGTCCTCTAACTCCCTCTATACATAAACCATTATTAATAGTTTTTGGGTTGTCTTTTCTTATTTTATGTAAAAGCATATATGTGTGTGTGTGTGTATATATATATATATATATATTTTAACATTTCTTTCTTATTAAAAGGTACACACTCTTCTACCCTTGCGTTTTTTACTTAACTGTGCTTCTTGGCAATGACTCCACAGCAATCCATGGAGATTTTTCTCTTTCCTTTTTAAAACTGCCTAGTGTCCCATTGTCTGCAGTACCAGAGTTGATTCAGTTATTCCCCTATTGAGGGACATTCAGGGTTGTTTCCAGTTTTTTGCTATTATAAATAGTGCCATGATAAATAACTTTGTGCATACATCATTTCATATTTCAGGGTAACTTTGGAATAGATTCCTACAAATGCGATTGATGAATTGGAGTGTAAATACTTACGTAACTGTTATATGGTGCCAAATTCCCCTCCATAGTGGTTGTACTGTTTTGCATTCCCACCAGTAATGTACAAGAGTGCCTGTTTCCCGCTAACCTCACCAACAAAGTATGTTGTCAAGCTTGGTTTTTACCCATTCAGTTTTTTTTTGTTTGCTTATGCTATTCTGTACTCTTCATAAATGTTTTATGTCAGTCTTTTATTCCTTCTATATTTTGAGTCAGATTTAAGGAAGTTTTCCCCATATATTCTAGTACTTATATGGTTTTCTTTTTCATGTGTATTTTAAATTTACTCTCAGGTAACTTTTTAAACTACTAAACTATGTAACTGAAGAGATGAGTATTAATAATAGGGTTTTTTTATGTTTATGAAAGTAAATGCTAAATGGTTTGTGGCATCTTGATTAAATTTGCATCTGCGTGTATGGTTTTTTGTTCCTCAGCATGAAGACTTTTTGCTTGCCCTGCAGATGAATGAAGAACAGTATCAAAAGGTAGTTAAAATCTCACCTAATCAATGTATTCTGGGTATTTTCATTAGCTGTTTTCTCTTCTCACATTTCCTGAGCATTTTGATGACAAATTGGTTCCCGTATAACCTTTGCTGTTGATCTGCTGAGTTTGAGCTTCAGCTAAGTTACAGTCAGGTACTTTAACCATTATAGTCACTCTTGCTTCCAAATTGGATCAGATTTGGAGGGAAGATAATATTGTTAGAGTCGTGCCTCTTAAAAAACGTTGCCTGGAATCCATTGGTTAGACTCTTAGAGCAAAATTTAGAATTCACGTATCATTTATAGAGTTAGAAGGAAGAGATGTGTCTAACCTCAGGACCAGATGGCTTTTGTATGATGTCAGCCATCCTCACGTAGTGGCCTTTTCTAACATGGTAGAAATGGACTAGTGACTGGATCAGTCACTGCCCTTAATAAAAAGCGTAAGTTTTCTGGTACTCGCAGTACTTGAGATGCTGCTTTATATAGCTTCAGTAGTCACTTAAGATAAAGCTTGGGCTGAGTCGTGACCCCATCGCACTCTTGTCTTATAATAAGGAGCAAAATCCAACATTTTTTTAAAATTTATTTTATTTATTTATGTTTGGCTGCGTTGGGTCTTCGTTGCTGCGTGTAGGCTTTCTCTACTTGTAGCGAGCGGGGGCTGCTCTTCGTCGCAGTGCATGAGCTTCTCATCGTGGTGGCTTCTCTTGTTGCAAAGCACAGGCTCTAGGCGTGCGGGCTTCAGTAGTTGTGGCGCACAGGCTCAGTAATTGTGGCTCACAGGCTCAGAGCGCAGGCCCAGTAGTTGTGGTGCACGGGGTTAGTTGCTCCGCAGCATGTGGGATCTTCCAAGACCAGGGCTCGAACCCGTGTCCCCTGCATTAGCAGGTGGATTCTTAACCACTGCACCACCAGGGAAGCCCAAAACTTTTAAAATAATATCCCTCGTGCCACTTGTCCCTGACTGTTATGTTAACATCTGATTATAGGTGTTACAGTTCTGCTGGTACCATGAAATTCATGAATCTGATAACTTTTTACAAAGGATGATACCAAAGAATACCCCCCAAAAAACATGAAAATCTCACTGTCTTTAGCTATGTATTAATATTTGTACTAGCATCTTAAGCTAGGTTTATACAGCAAAAACAGCTTGGGCTTCCCTGGTGACGCAGTGGTTGAGAGTCCGCCTGCCAATGCAGGGGACACGGGGTCCTGCCCCGGGAAGGTCCTACATGCAACTAAGTCCGTGCTCCACAACTACTGAGTCCATGTGCCACAACTACTGAAGCCCGAGCGCCTAGACCCCGTACTCCACAACAAGAGAAGCCACTGCAATGAGAAGCCTCCCTGGTGGTCCAGTGGTTAAGACTCCAGGCTTCCACTGCAGGGGGCACGGATTCAATCTCTGGTCGGGGAACTAAGATTGTAGGGAATTTCATGTGTGTTTCTGGTGGCTTTCAGGATGGCCAGTTGATTGAGTGCCGCTGCTGCTACGGGGAATTTCCATTTGAGGAACTGACGCAGTGTGCAGATGCTCACTTGTTCTGCAAAGAGTGTCTCATCAGATATGCCCAGGAGGCAGTCTTTGGATCTGGAAAGGTAAGAACCGTACAGTGTGTCCATACATAGGAAATATTCACAGAGTTTGAGGACATCACATTTATAGACAAGTGTAAATGCGTCATGGAAGTGCCTTTTCTGAGGTGATGTGGAACTCTGCTAAGACATGCTAATGTGTGTGATTCCTAGACAGCCTTTGATTTGTGTGATTATGTTGGTTTGAAGCACAGCAGATTTTTTTTCAGGGAATGGTATAATTCTTCCATGGTCTCATGCCCAGCTCACCGGAGCACCAACTTTTTCAGTCATCTTCTGTTTGAAATTAAAATGAAGGATGGGGCTTCCCTGGTGGCGCAGTGGTTGAGAATCTGCCTGCTAATGCAGGGGACACGGGTTCGAGCCCTGGTCTGGGAAGATCCCACATGCCGCGGAGCAACTGGGCCCGTGAGCCACAACTACTGAGCCTGCGCGTCTGGAGCCTGTGCTCCGCAACAAGAGAGGCCCCAACAGTGAGAGGCCCGCGCACCGTGATGAAGAGCGGCGCCCGCTTGCCACAACTGGAGAAAGCCCTCGCACAGAAACGAAGACCCAACACAGCCCAAAATTAAAAAACAAAGTAATTAAAAAAAAAAATGAAGGATGAACTCAAAAAGAGAATCTTGCAGGCTGTTTGAACATATGAGCCTGCAAATTAGTATTTTTTAACAAAATTTTTAAAACATTTTATATAGTTGTATTAAAATGAATATTTTTTAATTAATGTATTTATTATTTTTGGCTGTGTTGGGTCTTTGTTCCTGTGCGAGGGCTTTCTCCAGTTGTGGTGAGCGGGGTCCTCTCCTCATCGCGGTACGCAGGCCTCTCACTGTCGCAGCCTCTCATTGCGGAGCATAGACTCCAGACACACAGGCTCAGTAGTTGTGGCTCACAGGCCCCCCAGTTGCTCCGCGGCATGTGGGATCCTCCCAGACCAGGGCTCGAACCCATGTCCCCTGCATTGGCAGGCAGACTCTCAACCATTGCGCCACCAGGGAAGACCCATAAAATGAATAATATTTTATACAAGATTATATTTCTCTGTCCAAATTCAGTTTGTCTTGACACCAACATACAATATGGAAAGGCGTTTTTTGTCTTAATGAACACTTAAAAACCAAAATTGCTTTTCATAAATGCCCCACCAGTAATCAAACCACTTGACATCAATTATTCTAAAATCAGTTGTAATTTAGTCAAGGACTGAATAGCAGGGGTTTTTTTTTTGTTTTTTGTTTATAAATGTATTTATTTATTTATTTTTGGCTGCATTGGGTCTTTGTTGCTGCGGCGGGCTTTCTCTAGTTTCAGCGAGTGGGAGCTACTCTTCGTTGCAGTGCGCAGGCTTCTCATTGTGGTGGCTTCTCTTGTTGCAGAGCACGGGCTGTAGGCGTGCGGGCTTCAGTAGTTGTGGCACGTGGGCTCAGTAGTTGTGGCTCGCAGGCTCTAGTGCACTGGCTCAGTAGTTGTGGTGCACGGGCTTAGTTGTTCCGCGGCATGTGGAATCTTCCCAGACCAGGGCTCAAACCCGTGTCCCCTGCATTGGCAGGCGGATTCTTAACCACTGCGCCACCAGGAAAGTCCCCTGAGTAGCAGTTATTGGGCAGAGTAGTTGTGATTAGCAGAATATAGGCACAGTTTAAAGATACTGTAAGTTCGGTTCCAGGCCACTGCAGTAAAACAAATATCACAATAAAAAGTCACACAACTCTTTGATTTCCCAGTGCATGGAAAAGTTATGTTTACACTATACTGTAGCCTATTAAGTGTGCAATAGCATTTTGACAATCCCCTTCCCTCCTACCACTCATCTCTGCCTTCCAAGAGGTTCGGAACTCCAGCTTTTCCACGGAGTGTAGAGGGAATCAACTTGCTTATCATGAGTATCTGCTTTTCAGACACTGAACTGTGACTTTCCTCCTCTAAGTGATTTATCTTTCCTCATCTACTTCCCATCTTCATATATTGTGGTTTAGGCTGATAGACATCCTCTGGTAGAATCAGAGATGGACTTGGTGTTTTTGTTTCATGGTTTTCTTGTTTTGAGTGTGGTTTCTCAGAGAAGCGGGGACAGAAGAGGGGACCTTTACCATCTCAGAGTCTGTGTTCCAAACCACGATTTATTTGCTTCCCATTGAAAGATGCATTTAACCACTGAGGTTTTTTTGTTTCTCTGAAAACTTGGTTAAATTTTTTTTTTCCCTTTGCCTCCTGACCGTATCATTCTAGTCAGAGCTCAGCTGCATGGAAGGCAGCTGCACATGTTCATTCCCAACCAGTGAACTGGAGAAGGTGCTTCCCCAGACCATCCTGTATAAATACTATGAGCGAAAAGCAGAAGAAGAAGTTGCTGCAGCCTATGCTGATGAGCTCGTCAGGTGAGTCCGCAGAGTCAGAGTCACTTGTCGACTCATTCCCTGTTAGGAAGGCTGCCTGGGCCCTTTCATTGGTGATGAAAATTCTGGAACAGAGCTCTATCTCCAGGTTTTCTGGCATTTCTTGCTTTTAAAAAAGAGAATAATTGTATTCATAGAAAAATTTGCAGTTCGTATTTTTACCTACATTCCTTGGCACCTCTTAGTCATCTGGCTTATAGGTACAGTCCTTGTGCGTTGGTTAGAGGAAGGATAACGTGTGTGAGGAGTTCTCAGAGAGGTATGTTAAATATTGAGTGGTTTGCACTGAGGCAGAACCCAGAATGGCACCTGCATTTCCTGGTGAGAGCCAGCACAAAGCAGAGCCTCAGTCCATGTTTTAATGAAAAGTTAAGGAGCAAAAGGAGGTGTGGCTGTCCAGCTGAAAACTCCATCTTAGTATGAATAATCACATGGAGCAAATCAGGCTTTAATATTCTGAATAATATTCCTTCTGCTGTCTTGATTCTAGGTGCCCCTCCTGCAGCTTTCCTGCTCTGTTGGACAGTGATGTGAAGAGGTTCAGTTGTCCCAATCCTCGCTGCCGAAAGGTAGGGAGGCAAATATTTTTTCTAGATTCATATTTGAACTACGGTATTATGGACTGCCTTTGTGGCACAGATATGTGCTGGTTGTCTGCATGCTGACCCATGAGGAGGATTTGAGTGCTCTCCTTTTCATGAAAGCAAATGAAGATTGGTTCTTTGTGAATGGCGGTTGACTTCGTTGCAGAGATGGGGGCCACTTACGGATTTTTAATCACATAGCTCTGGATCCCTGTTTTATGCCATCTGCCTAAAGGGCAGATACTGCAGTGTAAAATGTGAAGGGTTCTGTGTTTATTCCACTGTGCCAGTATTTTTCTTGCTTGCTCTTTCACCACCCTCTTGTGCTCAAATACTTCTTTTCTGTGTGTGCACATGAGCGTGCACACACTTCCTGCCACTTGAAAAGTCCAAGTGGTATTTCTTTGATTAAAGAATTGGGCGTCATGGTGGCATCTCTGTCACATGCGGTAGATGATTCACTCAGCTGTTCACATAAGGACTGATTGCGTCAGGTGAGACCAAAGCTGTCTAGTTGCCTTACTGCTGAAAATCTCTTCCCTTTAGACTCCTATTCCGTGTGAACTAAGAATGTCTTGAAATTTGTCAACCATTTATAAGCCACTTAAGAGTTTTTAAGGAACATAATATTGGCATCCACATAGACAAGTATGTTTTAAGCCATTTTCCTAAAATAGAATGATCAGAGTTGAATATTACAATATCTCTGCCTTTTGGGGAGTGAAGAAATGAAAGTAGATATTGGAAAAGGAAGAAGAAACTACACTGATAGACTAAATAAAACCTTACTCATTTTGTTTTCAGCATTAACATTTCTGTGTAAAATCTGGACATTTTCTTACAACTGATGTATCCATTAGTAATTTGTCCCCACCACAGGCTGTTGCTGTAACAAATGTTTCAGTAGTCTCTGGAATCTTGGAACTAAGAAAGCAGACTCACTGACTGTCCTGTGTGCTTCCAGTGTGTTCAGCTCTAGAGTGCCTGGGAAGGCAGTGCCTGAACTAAGATACAGAGAGCAAGGGAGGTAGCCAAGGGAAGAAAAGGGTGGGAGTAAAGTGAAAGTGAAGATGTGGAATGTTGTAGGTCCAAGGAGCAACAGTATCCTGGACACTGACGTGCTGGGAGTGTGAAGAGAAAGGCTTACGTGCTGGGAGGGGCCAGAGCCATGCAGGCCTTCAGCACCATTCTGAGGCAGGAGGATGGGAGAGTGAAAAAGCAGGGAGATCTGTTTGGCTGTTGAGTAATCAAGGTGAGAGATGCACATCACTGTCACCCCCCTCTGGAGTCTCCAGGAGTTGCTAGTTTGAGCTAGGAATTATATTTCCTGGTATGATTCCAGATTAGACCTTGCCAATGAAAGTGCTCATATATGATTTGGAATGCCAGAGACAGTTACAGGAATGTATCAGCGTACTTATGCGTCTAAAACAGCATCCCATGAGTATTTTGAGAATATTCAGCCTGGGATATCAGTAAAAGCCTCCTAGAGGCATTTAAGATGCTAGGCAGAAAACTCAGATATTCTGCTTCCTGTCCGTGAGAGGAATATACTTGCCCTGCTGAACTTGGAGAGGGCCGTGTAGCTTCTTTTGGCCAATGAAATGTGAGTATGGGTGAGAGGTCGCTTGCAAAAACAGTGGTAAAATAAATGCTTAGGGGTGATGTCAGCAAGGTGGTGGAATAGGTAGCGCCAAATTCTCCTTCCCCCACAGAAACACTGATTCAGCAATACATGGACGAGTTTCCTTTGTGAGAAATCTAGAAACCAGTTACGAGGCTCCTGCACTCCATACAGGGCAGTTAGCCGCATTGAGGCCTGTAGGAAAATTAGTGGAGCTCACTCCGCAGAGCCCGTCCCCCAGCACACATAGCACACATGGGAGGAGACACCTAACTCCTCGCTTGTGCTTGGGGAGGCAAAGAGCAGACTAGAACATACGTCTAACATCCAGACTTCTCAGAGGGCTTACCCGAGGGGCTGGCTTATGTCTTTCCTGAATCTACGCACCGACAGGAGGGAGCACCAGGTTTCAGATCGTCAAGGACAAAGGCAGAGGTTTGGACTAGCATATGCTCCCTCACCTCTGCCCCTTTCCTTGGCTTAGTGTGGAAAGAGCAGGAGAAAACCCCCAGTTCGCAGCTTCCGGCTAGGGAGGAGGAGAGTTGCAGTGCGCGCCCTGCCCCAGCTTCCTGGGGTGCTGCCCGGGGGCTGCTTCCGTCTCACTCGACAGCACTGACAGGACCCTGCACACTCTCGACGCCTGGAAGCTTCTGAGGAAGAAAGAGCTGAGAGGCTTACTGCTGCTACAAAGGACCCACAGTGTAGCAGACAGAGGCCATTATGCCTCTGTGGCGTTTCCCTCCAGGAGAAAGGAAGGGTGGGACGTATACCCAATGTTCTAGCTTTCGTGGGGGAGGGGGGAGCTCTTCAAGGGACTGGTTTCTCTCTTGCCCAGCTCAGAGCACTGATGAGACCCACCATACTCTAGATGCCTGAGGTCTACTGAGAACAAAAAGAGCTGGGCATCTTACAGCCCCTCCAGAGAACCTGCAGTACTGTAGATGGACACCAGAGGGAGCAAGAGATTACAAGCTCCTGAAAAAAAAAAAGCCAGCAAAACCTCTCTGAATTGGGAATTTACACACATAGGTCCAGAGAAGGTGCATCCGCAGAAGAGGTTTGAGAGTCCTCCATAATTTATAGCCCGACTGATTGGTAAAGGTTTTTCCCCATACAGGGCCAGTCTAAAGACTGGGAGAGATGGCTGTTTTTCACATGTGTAGATCCTGACAAAGTAACAAGGCACAAGAAGAACCATGGTCTAACCAAAGGAACAATATAAATATCCAGAAACTGTCCCTAAAGAAATGGAGGTATGTGAATTACCTGACAAAGAATCCAAATAATCATCATGAGATGCTCAATTAGGATGGACCCAGACATTTTATAATCAAATGGTCAAAAGTCAGAGACAAAGAGAATTTTTTAAACAGCAGGGGAAAAGCAACTTATCATGTACAGTGAGTCTCCCATAAGATTCTCAGAGGAGGGCTCTTCCCTGGTGGCACGGTGGTTAAGAACCTGCCTGCCAACGCAGGAGACATGGGTTCGAGCCCTGATCCGGGAAGATCCCACATGCTGCAGAGCAACTAAGCCCATGCGCCACAGCTACTGAGCCTGCGCTCTAGAACCTGCAAGCCACAACTATTGAAGCCTGCGTGCCTAGAGCCCATGCTCTGCAACAAGAGAAGCCCATGTACTGCAACAGAGTAGCCCCCGCTCGCCACAACTAGAGAAAGCCCGTGCGCAGACCCAATGCAGCCAAAAATAAATAAATAAAATAAGTAAATTTATTTAAAAAGAAAGATTCTCAGAGCATATCTCAGCAGAAACCTTACAGGACAGAAGAGAGTAAGATGATATATTCATAGTGCTAAAAAAGTAAAAGAAAAAACCCTGCCCGTCAAGACTACTGTATCTGGCATAACTAAGTGAGGGAGGAGTTAAGACCTTCCCAGATAAACAAAAGCTTAGGGGGTTCATCACCACTAGGCCTGCCCTACAAGAAATGCTAAAGGAAGTCATTTGAGTTGAAATGAAAGGATGCTAGATAGAAACACAAAAGCACATGAAAGTATAAAGCTCACTGGTAAAGGTGGATATGTAGACAAACAGAATACTGTAACAGGTGTGTATATAATCACTTTTAACTCTGGTACAGAACTTAAAAGACAAAAGTATGGAAAATCTATAAAATATGTTTATGGATACACAATATAAAAAGACATAATTTGTAACATCAACAGCATGAAATGGAAGGGAGGTAAGAGTAGAGTTTTTGTATGTGATCACAGTTGTTATCAGCTGAAAATAGATTATTATAAATATACACAAAAGAAAGGAATCAAAGCATGTCACTACGAGAAATTCAATGAAACACAAAGGAAGACAGCAAAAGAGGAAAAGAGACCAAAAAGCTACAAGACATAGAACAACAAAATTACAGTAGTAAGTTCTTCCCTGTCATTAATTACTTTAAATGTAAATGGATTAAAATTTCCAACCAAAAGACACAAAGTGACTGAGTGGAGTTTTTTGTTTTGTTTTTTTCTTTTTGGGCTGCGTTGGGTCTTCATTGCTGCGTGCTGGCTTTCTCTAGTTGCAGCGAGCGGGGGCTGCTCTTCGTTGTGGTGCACTGGCTTCTCATTGTGGTGGCTTCTCTTTTCGTGGAGCGCGGGCTCTAGGCACACGGGCTTCAGTAGTTGTGGCACACGGGCTTAGTTGCTCTGTGGCGTGTAAGATCTTCCTGGACCAGGTCTCAAACCTGTGTCGCCTGCACTGGCAGGCAGATTCCTAACCACTGCGCCACCAGGGAAACCCTGGATTTTTTATTTTTTAATCCAACTATATACTGTCTACAAAAGACTCACTTGAAATTTAATGGCGGACTTCCCTGGTGGTGCAGTGGTTGAGGGTCCGCCAGCCAATGCAGGTGACGTGGGTTCAATCCCTCGTCCAGGAAGACCCCACATGCCGCAGGGCAGCTGGGCCTGTGCGCCATGGCTGCTGAGCTTGCGCTGTGGAACCTGCAAGCCACGGCTGCTGAGCCCACGCGCCACGGCTGCTGGGGCCTGCCCACCTGGACCCCATGCTCCGCAGCGAAGAGGCCACTGCGGTGAGAGGCACGTGTACCGTGATGGGGTGAGGCCCCTGCTTACGCAGCTGGGGAGGGCCCACTCGCGAGCAAGGACCCAACACAGCCAAAAATTAATTAAATAATTAATTAAATTGTATTTTTAAAAAGAAATTTAATGGCGCACATTGGAAACAAAAACATGGAAAAAGATATTTCATGCAAATGATAACTGAAAGAGAGCCAGGGTGGCCATTCTTATGTCATACAAAATAGTCTATAAGTCAGAACTGTCATAAGAGAGAAGGACATTATATAATGCTGAAAGGATCAATTAACCAGGAAGAT